GTTTATTCTTATTAGACTAAGATAGAGTAGTAATTTTAGTTATATTAAACTATATTTGATAAAATAGTAAGAAAGGATATAAAAAAGTCGCGTTCTTGAAAGACGCGATTTTTGAAGCTAAAATATTGCCTCGGCTCGGCGGTTATCGGATACCCGGGGGGTTCTTATCTATAGCGTGAAGTGTAGACACCCCCAGGTATAGCTTTTTAGCCTCTCAGCCGGTGTAAGGATAACTAAATCTACAAGTTGATGGTATCTTACATTTTCATACTCCAAGAAATGGTAACTTACAAATTCATACCCCAAGAAATGGTAACTTACAAATTCATACCCCATTTTTTTGGTGAGGGGTATGAAAATGTAAGATGGGGTATGAATTTGTAAGAATCCCATAGTTTGGGGTATGAAAATGTAATTCGCCCCTCCGTTCTGGCATGCACAAGCATCAAGGCGGGCAGCTGCAAAGAGTCGTCCCAAGACGGATGATATGTATGAGGGTTACTCGTAGTAATTGGTACTGAATCCCACACTTGGGTCAGAATTTCGACAGCTGGAGCAGAAAAAGAAGAAAATTAATTGACTGGGGGACGAAACGACGCCGAAGTTTCTTTTTTCAGGGGCAGAGGCCGCTCTTACTCCTCTTTGCAAAACCATTTGCGGGAGCGTTCGTTTAATAGTTACCCCACCAAATTTTCGCCGTAATCACCGCTAAATGTGCGTAAGAGGTATTTCGCATTATATAGACATAGAATTATATTTAAGTAGTTATTTAAGTAGTTGTTAAAGTAATTATTATAGCTATTATAAGTAGATTATAAGTAATTACTATCTAAAAATCGAGTAGAACCTTTAGATATTAGATTATAAAAAAAATAAAAAAAATAATAAAGCTCTATAACTATACTCTCTATATATAATATATTAAATAACTAGACTATATTAGAAATACGTCGTTAAACGACTTATTAATAGATCTTTATACGCGAGACTAATTTATAAGAATATAATATAATAATAAGATATATCTTATAATATAGTTTTATCGAATTATCTCTTACTAGCCTATACTATTTATAATAATTCTAATCTAAATAATATTAAATAGAAAGAGAAAGAAGTTAATAAGATAGTAGATTATAGAGATAAGAAGATAGCTAGATAAAGAAATGTTATAAACTAAGTTATAATATAAAAAGAAGATGTATTCTTACTATCTAGAAATCTACTTTAGTAGAGAATACTCGGAGACGCTAATATATATTTAGTTTAGGCTCTTTAAGCCTCTTAGATCTAATAGAAATAACTCTATTAGAGACTTCTATAAAAGGTTTTTATAATATTATATTAGATATTAATAAAGAAAAAATAAGTTAATATTCTTATTAAGATAGTAGTAGAAATAGACGCTTTATTAGTATAATAAATATATAGATTAAATATATAATAAGTAATAAAAGTCTTTCACTCTAGACTTTAGAAGTTTTCTTTATTAATTCGAAAAATAATTTAATATAGATTATTATCTAATTAGTAAAGTCTTATATAATCTTTCTTTTTCTCTTTTAAGTATAGATTATAATACTTATATAAACTATTATAATACTTCTATAGACGGCTATAATATTTACGTAGACTATAATACTTATATAATTCTAATACTCTTATCTATCTTTTATCTAGTAGATAAGATAAGTACTAGCTTATATTTATAGTTATTTACTAGCTTTATTATATTAGATAAATCCTCGATTATATATTATATATTATATTTATAACTTTAATTCTTTTAATATAATAAATACTTAAACTTTTTATATATAATTTATTTATTTATAATTATTCTAATTTCGAAGTTATCTTCTTTATTATAAATAAATAATAATTTTATATTAATTCTTCTCTTATATAAATTTAAAGCTTTAATTATAATAATAGTAACTAGCTCTAGCTAAGTAATTAATATAATTAAATAAATTCGTATAACTAATAATAGCTTTAATTAATATATTAAGTAATTAATCTTTATTAGAATTTTAAAGAAATTAATATATTATTATAAGAGTTTTCTATTTAAAAGATTTAAAATCGAGTATTTATAATATAATTTAAGAAAGATATTATCTTCTTTCTTAAGATTTAATATTAAATACTTTATATTATATCTTATTTTTATAATAATAAATAAAAATATTATAATATTATTTATCTCTTTTCTTTTAATTAAATAAAGCTTATAAAAGACTTTTATAGATATTAAGAAATTTATAAGTAATATATCTATAGTATTATTAATCTTAAAATTATAATATAATTTATTAGATATTAAATCTATAATATTACTTAAAAAGTTATTAAAAGTAATCTAAATATATAATAAGATTTTATTCTATTTATCGTTAGAATTTATAATAAAATATAAATATAATATTATCTCTATCATTTAATTAATTCGCTTAAATTAACTATTTATTTATAAATAATAGACTATAGACGTTAGAAA